GACCCTGTTTTTTTCAGGATTCGCCCGCTTGATTACAGGGTCTGTTGTGGTTCTTGGAGAGTTGGGTTACTGCGGGCATATTGCCCTCCTCGCACTTGTCTGGGCTGAGCTTTCTATTTAAATTTCATGGTTGGAGGGATGAGACCAAGTAGTTTCTGGTGCGGCAAGCGGTTAAGGGTCTGCGCATGGGTCGGGTTTCTGTGGATTCTAGGAGACCAGTATCAAGGACATGGCCCTCACCAAATTTATATGTACAGTTTCATATGAATTGGATGCGTCATACAGTATTTGTATGTTTTAATAAATGCTGTGGCCTGTTATATCCAAAGATTTAGTGTCTGTTGTTATTTGGGGGTCATGGTTGGTTTAAGGAGAATATCTCATCCAATGTCCTCTCACATTGCATACAGGGCGGTGCAAGGATTTTTGCCGCCCTAGGCAAAAGAAGGATTTGCCCCCCCCCCCAGAACATCGCAATTCCCCACCCAAATGAACTAATGCCAGTGCTGCACATTAAAAAGCCTGCAGGGACAAACTATAGACACCAGAACAACTTTATTAAGCTTCAGTGGTTCTGGGGACTATAGTGTCCATTTAATGTGAGGTAAATTAGCGATTAGTGTCACTAATAATATACTAGCTTGCCTACTTACAATCAGATGAGGATGGTGATGGGCTCTGGCTGCAGTCTGGCTCCACTGGTCTGGTGTAGAACAGGATCTCTGGAGGCTGCTTGCAACTGTGGTCACAAAATTCAATGTTCTGGGAGAACGGGAAGCAGCTCCATTTTTGGGGCCTCTTACATAGCTCAAGGTCTGGGCCCCAGGGCCTGACGGTGAGTATGCCCATAAAGCCCACCCATAAGTCCACCTACATGTTCCACCCATGAACTCACAGGGAGTAGAGCGTGTAGGGGATGTGTTATGTGTTACTGTAGAGGATCTAATGTGTGTGCTTACGGAATGTAGTGTATAGGGGATACCAGTTTGTGTAGGTGATGCAGTGTGTTTGTGTGTAGTGGAAGCAGTGTGTGTGTGTATAAGGGATGTATTGTGTGTTTCTTGTTGTGTGTAAGGGATGCATTGTGTGAATCTGTGTTTGTATGCATAAGGGATGCAAAGTGTGTTTCTGTGTATGTAAGGGATGCAGTGTGTGTGTCTGTAAGGGGTGTGTTGAGTGTGTGTAAGAGATGCATTGTGTTTCTGTGTGTGTGTGTAAGAGAAACAGTGTGTGTTTGCATGTGTGTGTAAGGGATGTATTGTGTGTGTTCTGTGTATATGTGCAAAGGATGCATTGTCTTTATGTGTAAGGGTTGCATTGTGTGTTTCTCTGTGTGTAAGGGAAGCATGTTGTGTTTCTGTGTGTATAGGGATGCATTGTGTGTGTGTGTGTGTGTGTGTGCGTGGTGTGAAAGAGCTCCCTGTCCCCCTGTCCTATAGAGCTCTCCCTTCCATTCCTTAGAGATCTCTCCTGCCCCTTAGTGGTCTCTCCACCGCCCCCTCCCTCCCCTACGTTCTCATCTCCCATCATCTCCCCCCCCTCCCTCCCATCATCTTATCTCCCCACCCCTCCCATCATCTCATCTCATCTCCCCCTCCCATCATCTCCTCTC